AAAAAACATTTAAAGCTGCGTCTGTATGAATCGCTGATTCTCTGAATCAGCATCGAATCTTCAGATTTGGATTCAGGCAAATCGAATCAGGCTGAAGCTGATTCAAATAGGGCCATTTCACACACCCTTACAGGCTAGTATCACTCACTAACGGGGGCAACACGTAGGGTGTGAACGTGGGTGCACATGCACTCCCTGTGTGTGGCCGTGCATCCCCTAGAAAAAGGCGCATCTGGAGGCAGTCTGCAATCACCGCTGGCCACCGCCGCCCCTCCCAGCAGCGCCTGTGGGTGGTCACCGACCATGTTCTGCACTCACCACCCGCCCCTTGCCTCTCCCCCCCACCACTGAAGGCACCAGTGGCGTCTGCGGGACCTCCATGTCTATCGCTGCCACGCTCCTGCCGCTGCCAGCTCAGTCGTGCCCAGCCGCTGGGGGCACTCGTCGTTCATGCTCAATAATAATTGATTAAAAGAAAATAAAAGGATACTAAAGACTTACACCAGGTAGTTAGAAAATCTTGCAAAATAGTACCTGCTCACTTAATTGTTGCAAACGACATTTTGTGACAGGCAAGTAAAATATTTTTTGTAGAGGGTTTTTTTTGCTGTCAACAGACATGGAGCTTAGGGTAAGTAAGTAGCTATATGGCAAGGCTGATAATTTTTCATGGCAGTTTTGCAAGTCTGATTTAAAGAATATAAATGTAAAATGATCAAACCGTAATCTGTGCATGCTTGGAACAGAAGGTTCTGTAGTACTGATTCACAAGAAACAGGTCTATGTCTATGTAGATAAGGGAATAATGCTTAAATCAAGCCATGTCTGCCCATTCTAAAATTTCAGTCCATGAGTTGCTCAGTTCCATTGGTTTTCTTGCTATTTAATGCTCCAAAAATTCATTCATCCTCTACTGGAGAAATAAAAATATTTTGAATATTGACGTACACCTTTTATTGAAGTTAGGGAAATATTTTCATTGATTTTCATTAAACTGGGCCCTTTAAGAGTAAATTATGCAATATTCAGTTTGAAAAATCCACTTTTACTTTTCATTTTAAATATTACTTTTTTTTGACAGCAGCTCTAGTTTTGTTGGCAGTCACCCAAGTGTTAGATGTGGAATATCTCTACTGAAACCACTCAGACCTGATTGGCATGAGATAAAAATTACTGGTATAGTGTTATGAAAAACACTTCTAGCATACATGCAGGTGGCAAGAAAGTATTCTTTCCTCTTCAGCTTTATGACACTTAGGGAATCTGTCTTGGAACAGCTTACAAATCCTGTTTGATATTATGAACTCTCCATAAGTAGGTATATTAAACTCCATTTAGGCTGCGTCACACATGCAAGCATGTGCGCTTGCCTCAGCTCAAATAGAGGTGGTGCAAATCTGAGCTGGGGCTTTCTGCCCCAGCACACATACTTGGACATGCACTTTGTTGAGGAGCAAATTGTGCCACTTGGGGCAAAATAACCCTGCCTGGCTCCTCTTGGATCTGCAGCCAGGGGGAGCTAGAGCCTGGGGCCAGCACCTGTGCTGTCCCCAGCAATATAAAAAGCTGCCCTGTCCTGGCCCCAGCAGTACAAAAAGCTGCCCTGGCAAGTAGCTCAGGGCTACTCACTCTCAGGAGCTTCTGGGGCCCAGGCAATTGGTACCTGAGGACACCACCCCTTGTGCCAGCTAGACCGCTGAAGTAGTCCAGAGAGTTCCCTGCACTCTCTACCCACAGCAGCAGTCTGGCAATGGGGGCTGCTGCCTGGCTATGACCTGCTGTGCACCTGCCAGACCGGGATGAGGCATCCGCCCCTCTGGACCAGCTGCCAGTGGGCTGTGGCTGCAGGGCTGGCCTCTGTGTGGCACTACTGCCATGTGTGCCACCTGGGCAACTATTGCCTGGAAGATGTTCCGGGTATGGTGGCCTGCTTTATACTGTCAAACCATGTCCTCCTGGCCCCATTTGACCAGGAGGTCAGCCACAGCCAGCTGGGTCCAAGGTACCAGCTCTGAGCGGGCAGGGTCCTG